AATATCATGTAACACTTTAGCTTGGACTAAAAGCAAGAATGGTTTTATGCTTTCTCTTCTTTTCTATAAACGCATAAAAAAGTCTAAGGCACTTGATGTAACTATACATCAATGGGAGTCTTCTGATCTTTTTCCTCCAGAATAAAAAAGTACAGTACTTCAACTTTAACTAAAGAAGCTTTCTAAGGGAAATGGGCACAGTAAGTTATTTCATTCTCTACAGAGTCAATTATATAGTTTCAATTTACTTTGTGCCACAATCAGGATACAGGAGCTCCATACTCTCACTTTGGACTTGAGTTAGGCTTTAAAATCTCAGGAGTTCAAGTTAAAAACTTAATCTAATTTCTTCTCCTGTGGATATTTTTGTTCTCAACCAAAGAGAAAGTGTTATACAATGAGTAGTACACAGCTCAAAACTGCCACCTCTAGGCATTGTATAATGTTCTTTCACTCCTCAAAATAAATTATTTTCCTATTGTTCAATTTCTTAAGATCTCAAAGGTCAAACATCAAACTTTCAATGAAAGTGTAACAATTTAAGAGCTTATTTTTAAAGTCCAAACATTTTTAATATAGTTGAATTGGCATTCTCTCATCCCACGTAAAAATTCTCTTTGGGGCCATACTATTCACTCCATTTGATTGACCAGTGATGTAAGCAATATATTATTCAATATTCTCCTTATACTGCTACCCCTGTCTGCAATATTGTCACATACTAAGTACTAAGGAATTTGGTTGGTTCCTGCAACTTGTATTAATGTTAATGAAAAGCTTATTTGCCTACTGAGGTCAAAACAAATGTCTAAATCACATAAAAAACCTTTGACAATTAAATGCTGCTAAAAGGATCTTTAAAATACCTTCAGATTATTATGAAACAATGCAAGAAAATATTTGTAGAGTGAAATTAAAAAAAAAAATCAAAATCACAGGATCTTAGGAAAATAGGGCTGGAAGGCACTTTACAAGGTCTTTTAGTCCAACCTGCTGCTCAGGACAGGATCATACCAGACTAGACTGTCTCTCCAACCAGCACTTGTGGAATTTACAGCCCTGGAAATTTTCAAGTTCCCTAGGCAGCCTAGTTCAATACTTGACCATCCTCAGGCCCCTTCCACGTGTTACATGTATTAACTGGTTAATTAATTGCATAATTATCTTGAGACCAATTACACATGCAAAGTAGCTATCATATGATAAAAAGCTCCAACCAGCTATAAAGAAAGACCTCAAGAATGTGTACTAGCTTTACAGCTGTTTGCTATCAAGCTTTATTCTGCACATGTAGCAGGGTCTCTCCTGTATCTGGGAGCCCCATCAGCTGACAGAGCTTCCATTTGCAGGGCAAAGTACAAACAGTTAAAAAGCCCAACACTGAATCAATTCAGTCTTTGCAGGTTAATCTAAGATGCATAAATTAAACTGAGAAACAACTGGACACTCATTCACTTTTGATTCACGAAATACAGCCACGTGCCTGCAGTGGCTCAGGCCAGAAGCTGGAGGCGCTAGAGCACAGCTCTCTGGCACATAGCCAGAACGGGCTGTGTCCCCGCTTCTTCTTCCTGCTGCCCAAGGTCTCTGGGATTTGCAGTTCAAAATCACAACACCACCACCACCACCCACTTCCAACCCTTCCCTGCTGGAGCTGACAGCACAGTCCAGCCCAGGGATGGAAATCATGCTGGGGGTCTGTTTGAACTTGAACCAGGAAGGGGTCTGGGACAGAAGTTTCATAAACCAGTTTGACCCAAATCAGTCAAGACTGATATTACATCTCCATTCTCTCCATAATCACCTTCCAAGTATTGGAAGACTTATCTAGTCTCCTCCTCAAGTCTTCTCTTCTCCAGACTAAATAACTCTAATTCCTTCACCCTTTCCTCATAAGTTTTGTTTCCCAGTCCTCTAATCATTTTTGCCACTCTCCACTGGACTCTTTCCAATCCATCCACATCCTTCTTGAAGTGTGGGGCCCAAAACTGGATCCATACTGTATAGCACTGTTGATGATTACTCATGAGGCTTCACCAGTGCTGAAATAGCTGAAGAATCATTTCCCTTGATTTGCAAGTTAGACTCCTGTTAATACAACCCAGGATGCTACTGAATTTTTTTATTTTTTCTGCAACAAAAGCATACTGTTGGCTCATATACAGCTTATGATTCACTGGAAACTCCAGGTTCTTCTCTGCAGTAGCCTAGCCAATCATTCTGTATTTGTGCATGCAGTTATTCCATCCCAAGCGTGGTACTTTGCACTTGTCCTTGTTGAATCTCTTCTGGACGCGTTCAAAATCAGCAGGTCCAGATGCTCTCCACCCCAGGGTGTTGAGGGAGCTAGCAGGGGTTATTGCAGGGCCCTTGGCATGGCTTTATGAGTGCTCGTGGTGCTCAGGCCAGGTGCCAGATGATTGGAAGATAGCCAATGTGGCCCCCCTCTTTAAAAAAGGGAGGAAGGAGGACCCAGGCAACTATAGGCCCATCAGTCTTACCTCAATCCTAG